GTGCGTGCGTGTGTATAATCCCCATAAATGACGGTTGCCATAGACACGCTGCATGGTATTCCACCGACCCACCTTCAGATCATTGTTTAGAGGTTGTGTGTATTATCTGGTGCATATTTTAGTATCTGCACTTTGTGTTCAGAAAGTAATTGTGACCTGAGGGAACAGATCCTCTTAAATGGGTTGTGACAGAATTCAAACAAGCTTCATGTACGAAAGAATACTCACAAGCCATATATACATGCATGGAAAGATATTTATAATGAGCACAAACAAACATCTTGTATTCTGAATACACATGATTGACGCTCTGTGGGAAGCGCACAAAGCAGAGGCAAACAATCCACTGTGCAGTATGCATTGTAGAGGCCACACAGAGGTCATGTGGTGTGTATATCCGGTAGGCTGTTTGGGTTGGAGGGCAGAACGGGCTCAGGCGCCTGGGTGATGAAGGTCGCTGGGGAGAGCTCCTCCCTAATTCTGGAAGACAGGCATCATTATGCAACGCTGAAATGCATCTGTCTGATAAATCACATGTAGGCACTCATGTTCTCACAGCCAAAACTTTTTCAGCTAAACATGGAATGTGGGACCAATAAATCTGCACAGGCTTCGTAATTGCAAGGATGAGGATCAACTTTTATTCTCGTACATTCCTTTAGTGTCTTACCCGGCTGCATCGCTGTCAATAAGGTTCTTCTTCTCAGAGGAGGCAGACCAAGCCAGATGTTGGCTGGCCTTCCTATCAGGAAAAATGCAGAGTTGCAGTTAAATACAGTACCTCGTAGTGAAAAGCCATGTTTTAGCACATTGGTGTCTATTCATTTAGGCCTGCAGCCTGTCCTGGAAAGGGGTTACTCTGGGTCAACACAATGCACATGGACTTGGATATTCTGACTCTGGAGTCGCCAAATGTTCTGCGTTATTTTGCTGGACTAGGTTCCAGACCACTGTTAACATGAATACACATCTCCTGCCTGCCATACCCCCATACATCCAGATCCCCTGCACACTCCTTTCTGAAAATCATGTTACCAGCTGCTCTCTGACCACAAGCGTTCAAAGAACAAAATAAAACTGCTAGTGCACGTGAAGAGGGGCCAATGGGCTGAAAGCAAATCGACGTGACCAGATGTTTGTTTCCAAGCACACGACTCTGTGGCTGGGCCTATTTTTACTATTGTGCCCAGACTCTTTCTTCATTCTTTTTAAGCAGCTGGATGGAAAAGAAAATTGGTTGAAGCCTAACTGATGTTTTATGGTATCCTCTTCTGCTGAGAAAATGGCTGTTTAAAACATTAAAAAGAGGGAGGAGTCACCAGAGGTTCAGCCTGAACTAGTGCTTGGTGTCACTGCGCTTTGTTGTTCAGCAGTAATTCATCCAGAAGGTTCAGTCCATTTTGAGGGATTACAAGTGGATTGTACAGTATTATTTAGGATGATGTCAATGAGCGATAAACAAGCAACCAACAAATCTTTCGCTAAGACAAACATAATCCAATCATTACAAGGTTTTATTACCTTTCCCTCTGCCCGTTCATTTTAGCAAAGAGAAGCCTGAGCACTTGTTCCTTCTGCTCCCAAGTCAGATCTGAGATTTGAACTTTGCTGCCAGGTTGATGAGGCCTTAAAAACAGGTGGATGAAATCCAAATGAATGTTAACCTCTAAGCTTTTGTACAAATTCTTTCATACAGAGGTGATACTTAGGTGAACCATCCAAAGTGTTGGGGTTTAATGGCCACTGAATGCGTTAAAGCTTACTTGGTGCTAATAAACATGAGGAAATAAAAATATCACAAAGACACAGTTGTAGAAGTCACGGGAATTAGACCTACCACCTTGCAGCCGCCTCCAGGTCTGAATGGACAGAGTTGGTACTGTGGGGGCTTTTATGAAAGGTGCGGATGGGTGGGAACTTCAGCTTTCCGGCTGTGGCTTCTCTCAGCCTCCAGCGATAAGCGTGCAGTGCCTCCTTTTTGTATTGCTGCCTGCTGGCTGTGATCTCCTGCTTCACCTGAGCCACAGCCTCATGGAAGAACAGCTCCAGCTCTGTGCGCTGCTCTACAATGGTGCTCGCTAGCCGCTTGATGTGTCCCAATTCCCTCTCCCGCATGGCAAGCACTTTCTGCAGCTTCTCCAGCTCTACCTGGCTGGCCTGGATGCTGACCAGGGTCCTTTCCTTCTCCTCCTCCTTCTCTCGCTCAGGTTCCCCAGATTTTAGCTCTAGGGCCTCCTCCAGGGAAGCTACCTTGGCTCTCAGTTTAGATATTTCCTTTTTTTGGGCCTCCATCTGAGCTGCGTTCTTCTTTACCAACAACTCAATCGTGTTCTGGGTGAGTCGACAGAAGAGGAGAGTAGGAACATCGATGACATTGAGCTACCTTTGGAAAATCCTTTTATTTTTATACCAATATGGAACAGATAATGATTTGTGTGCTAGCCTGTGCTGCTGAGTGAGTGGCCAAAGCTTCAACAAGGGGGATTTACTCTCCTGATTTACTGTCATCATCAGAGGTAAGATTAATGTGCCCAATATTTATTTGTCTTAAAGAATCAGTGCCAGGAACCTGCGAAGGAGAAGCCACTAAATTTGAACCCATGCGCCAGTGGAAACTCACCGCAACCACTGACCACTGAGAGGCTGGGTAGTAGTCAGGAGGTTGGGGGGGGGTTGGAGTAGGACCACAAGCAAAATACACAGGGTCAGCACAAGTAAACAACACGAGGGAAAAACCACCTGAAATATATTCTGCACAGATCTGACAAGTGTTTCGTAACTGAAATGATTGAAAATGACTTTATGGAGATGAATGGTCCCTATCCAAGGACTGCCGGTTCCTAATGCTAACACTGCAGTTTACTGTCCTATGCTCCAAACATACCTTGTCTACTTCCAGCAAGGCATTTTCTTTCTCCAGTGAATGTGTCAATTTCTGCAGTTCCTCTGCTTCCTTTATGTGATATTTCAGCGCTTCGTTGAGACGGACATTCTCCTTGAACACAGAGCGCGAGGCATCGTCCAACTGCCTAAAGAGTTTACAGGACAAACAAAAAAAGCCACTGAGAGATTTGTCTCTCAGTATGAACATCCCTATGATTCTTCATTTTATGCCAGACATCATGTGTACGTGTTTAAGATTTATTTCCACCTGTGTTCAAAGTAGAATACAACAAATGCTTGAAATGTTTTAAACTGTTGATCAGTCAATAAAAAGTTCTGATCATGTAGGTAAGTGGGTCAGAAAAAATATTGAATTGTCTCAAAGTTAGCCCAATGAAAGCATGTATATGAATGACTATTCTGTTTCAGAGGTTTCACACTCCACGGCATAGAATAACCAAATCTTATCAGACTTATAAGACTACATCTTTGTCAAATATGGTTCTGCAGCCTGATATGTATTCATCTGGCGGTCCCCGACACTAAAAAGGTTGAGAACCACAAGTTGTAGAGCGTAGTACACATGTTTTGCTGAAAATTGAGTGCGCTCAAAATGAAATCAATTACTGACACTGAGACCAAACCAGCAGGACCACACCAGTATCAATGTTGATGTTTTATGAGCTGTAAAAAATAACTAAACATAGCAATGGTGAAATATATGTCTTATGGCCTCTAAAGTAATAAACTCTGGTTTTTGCACACACGCATTACACTCTCCTCCCTGCAGGACATTCTGGGGCGGCTGACGATGTGATCGTTGGCTTCGGTGATGTACACTATCTGAACATGACGAACCAGTGTGGTCAATAAAACAACATTAGTTCTAGTTATATATATATATAAATATAAATGTACATAAACACTACTGTGAGTAAAGTATTTTTTCTTTGCCTCCTGAGCACATCAAAGAGCAGCTTAAAGAATAAAATTAGATAGTACAGTGGAAACACTCACACAATGGCTTCATTGTGGGCTTTCTCCACTACCAGGGATATAGTTTGCTCAGCTTCCTTCTCCAGGCGAACCTGCAGGGAAATTTGCAAACTCACCGGATGTTTCACAAGGGACAAGTTTCTATATGTCCATGAACAGGAGCCAGGCTGATATATTATTTAAAAGCCGATATATATTTCACTGTGACATCACCTCATTATTAGTCATTATCTGTGACATTTTTAGGTGGTTCTTTCAGACCTGACAATACCTTTTCTTGGAGGAATCGGTACTCCATTTCATTGAGGTTTTCCCTGTGCTCTTTGTCAGCAACATCCATGTTTTCTCTCATCTACAGAACAAAAAGGTCACGGTCATTGTCAGCATTAACATCTTGACAAAAGGATCAATCACTCTAATACGTTATACAGCGTTTCCCCCCCTCACATCACTGAGCTCCTGCTCCATCTGGGCTTTCCTCTTCTGAAACTCCTTAATTTTCTTCATTCCATCCTGGATCATGTTAAAGTCACTGGACTTCTTTCTGAACAGTTCCTGCATCTCATTGATTTGAAGTGTGTAATTTCCAACCTGTCAAAACCAATCATATAATTAGACGCACACAACGAATAACATTCTACATATTTAATGCATGTCTGAAAATACGCGTCCACTCCTCTATACGCTGACGCTTCTGCAAAGTTCCCATATGTGCTGCTTGTATCAGTCCGGGATGAAGATTTTTATACCAAAGTTCACAGAGGCCATACACTTCTGCAAACCAGCTTCTGTGCAGATCAGTCAGGCCAAATACCTCAAGATGCTACTGTGGAAAAGCCAGTCTGAGCACAAATGTGACAAAATGACCAAAGTCATGAGAGACTAGCAAAACACGCACCCACAAACATGTACATGACGACTAAATGAGAGGTTATCAACCGTCTGATTACAACTTCAGGCCTAATCGTTATTCTTCACATAACTCTGTATACATTCATCTACGTCAATGCACCAGTCCACAATATTTATTTATTTATTTCAAGTTGGTTTGCATCACGTGCAATTTTCACTCAAAACATATCTGCCAGTCTAAAGTGATTTGTGTTGCACGCGTCTGTCTGTTCCTCGCGCTGTGCAGAAACTGCCGTTGGAAAAGCTTTTATTGAATCATTATTTGGCTGACTGAGTTTCTCAACCCTCCAGTTTCATCAGGTCTCTCCTTAAGACAAAAGCCAGGGCATTCGTGTTCCCCGAGTGCCTTTGATGGAGTACTTTCCATTAGCTAAGTCAATTTACAAAACGAACTATTTAATCACCTCACAATTTCACTTCAGCACGTCTTAAAGTCACATCTTTAGAGTCAACCACACGACAGTATTTTTTCCCCGTAACTGGACATATGTGACGGTTCCATACATGTCTAAAATAGGGATGTTTCAAGTCGGTCCAGACCATGCCTCTTTTTTCCTCCTCAGAAGCTTATTGGACTCCATTTTACCAGCATGAAGTAAGAGCTGCAAGATGGAAAACAGCTGCTAGCAAAAGAAGCAAAAGTTTTTTTGTCTAGTAAAGCCACTTGAATTTTGTCATGTCAGTTTGATAGCTTGATCTTAACTACAAGCAGCAGAGGTCAGTGAGGATAAAAGGAGCCAAAATAAGTCCCTTTGGTGTGTGTTATGTAACTTACACTGGCATTTTAGAGTAAGGATCTGTGTGAGGTATGGTTAACACATCAAGATCAACAGTGTGACTGGCTTTTCCCGACCAAGCACTTTTAAATTGTGCTTTTTTTCCCTGTGGCCACTGAGATAAATAAAAATAACATTAGACCATGTAACTAGGAATGTGAGGTTTTTTTTTTCTTTTCTTCTTCTTCTTTTGTTTTATGGTCGCTTTGTTTTCTTGTTGTTTTCTTACATAATAAGTGTCAACATAATTACACACAAGACAGCTGTTGAGACACAGCGCAGCACATTTTTGAGATGCTACAGGTTTAAGTTGTGAACAGTAAATCATAATATAGGATTCTACGATGAACGTGGTAGCTTGAGCATGTTCCTGCGGGCTCCAAACGAAAAAACGCAAGTCGCATTTCTTTTCTTGTTGTGGCCGTGTTTTAAAACCAACTCACCAGTTTGTTTTGCTCTTCACGTGCGAGGGCCTCCTGGCTTTTGAGGCTTTTCAGCAGCATATTGATGTGTTACAACAATAAGTGACAGCATATTGATGTGTTACAACAATAAGTGACAAGCATATTGATGTGTTTACAACAATAAGTGGCAGCATATTTGATGTGTAACAGCATATTGAAATTGTGTTACAACAAAAGATGCCAGCATATTGATGTTACAACAATAAGGTACAGCATAATTGATCGTGTTACACATAAGTGCAACAATACTTGATGGTACAACAAAATGGCAGCAATATTCGAGTTACCAACATAAGTGGCAGCATATTGATGTTACCCAACAGCATAGTTGATGTGTTACAACCACCTAAGTGGAAACATATTGGATGTGTTAAAACCAATAATGCCAAACATAATTGATGTGTTACAACAAAGCTGACAGCATCAGTGATGTGTTTACCCCAAACAAATCAAGGGCCAGCATATTGATCGGTCTTCTTACAACAATACAGCCGTGACAGCATATGGATGCTGTACAAACAAATAATGGGCATTTCCGCATCGTTTACAACAACATTATTGAATCGGATTACCGACACAATAAGTGCAGCAATCACTTGACGTTACACGAAATAAGCTGGGCAGCATATTGATGTGCTCGTACAACAGCATATTGATGTGTACAGACAATAAGTTGGCAGCATTTCGCATGTGTTCACAACAATGAAGTCTTGGCCCCAGCCAATATCTGATGTGTTACACACACAATCAGCATACTTGATGCTATTACACACAATACTTGGCTCAGCATATTCGATTGTTTACAAACAGCCATATTGAAATGTGTTCTTTTAACCACACAACTAAAGTCGCCCACGCATATCGATCGTGTCAACAATAAGTGCACGCAACTAATTGATGTGTACAACAACAAGTGGCAACATCAGTCTCCGACTGGTTACAACACCACAGTGCCAAACATATTGATTGCTTACCAACCAATAACAGTGCCAGCATATTGATGTGTTACCAACACGCATCATCTGATGCTGTTCACACAATAAGGCAACATATTGATGCTGTTCACCAACAATCAGCAATGCAACATATGAATGTGGTTACAACAAATAAGTGACAGCAATATTATGTGTTTACCAACAATAAGTTGACAGCATATTGATGTTACAACATTAAGGCAGCGAAATATGAATCGTGTCTACACAGCTCCTCGAGGTTAACAAATACACTCGCAGTGATGAATAATAAAACACATTGGGTCACGTTCATTTACACACACACACCTAGGTTTACGTTACCTTCTCCTCTTTGACCGCGTCCTGTCTCTTCAGAAAACCCGTGATGTCGATGCTGTCTTTCTCCGCGCGGTACAGCTGGTTGGTCAGCTCCTCGTTGGCTCGCGCCAACTTGCGGCAGGCGTCCCGGTACTGCACGAGCGACCGGTCGGTGACCTCTAACCTCAGCTCCCACAGAGCCGCGTTGGCCTTGGCCTTCTCCGTGTCCGACTCCTTGTCCGCCTTGGACTCCTGTTTGCCCTCTTTTTTTCCTTTCCTGTGACAAAATACACGAAGAATTTGAACGTCAATGCAACAACAAACAAACAAACAAACAAACAAACAAACAAACAAAAAAAAAGAGGAAGAGTAGATACAAATGTTAGGTTGCGCACTCACCCGGCTTTCGCCCTCTTTACTTTGGCGACTTTTTTCTTCGGCATCACTGCTACCTTTTACCGGCCAAAATAAGACACAAAACCACCCCGTGTCTAAGAAGTTAGACGGTAATTGCCCCGGGGAGTTGTACAGTTTGGCTCAACGGTAACGGTAGCAGGCTGCTGTGTAACCCCGCTGTGGCTGTTTGTGTGGTGCTGTTGCTATGGAGACGCGGTAGCCGGAAAAGGTCAAATTTCTGTGCTTGTATTTTATTTAATGCACACTTGTTCAGGTTTGTTTGCGAGTATAAATACTATCTGTAAAATGCATAAACTCAACCATTTGGTTTATGCATATCCTAAGAACATTTAATTTCAGTTTGACCCATTTAGACAGATTTATAGTTCTGATCCCGATACAAGCACATATAGTAATAAAAAACATAAATAACTAAAATCTTAACTACAAACTGAACTAACTCTAAAGACTACAACCATATTCTAATTCTAAGTATGTGCAATGATTGTGCTTGGTAGTATTCATGGTTAGTGCAATACTGCATTGACTGTAGCTGCTTTATTTGAATTTTGGAACATTGGAAATAATTATTATTCTCAGTACTCATTATAATTATTAATCTATTAACTGTAGTCTATACACACACAGAGTTATGTACAGGTATAATAAACGGGTAAGTATGCTACAGAGATCAACAGTAAGATACTGGATAATACAAATAAAATTCAAATAAAAATACAAATATTTTGAGATGCACAAAGATATTATTGCATCACGAATGCTGACCAAATTTAACACAAAATAAATATGCATACATCACCAACCTTGTAAAATCCATGTACATTTTAACAACATGAAAACTAACCCTCTTAGTGTATGTCCCCACAATGTTCAGTGTCTTATACTCATTGTATTCTTTACAAAAATTGGATGTCTCTGCTCTGTGCTGTGGGGATAGCAACACTGCCTCCTTTTCATTTATAAAGTTTTAATTTAAAATCTGCTCACTTGTTTTGTGAGCCTTCTGAAATATCAACATTCAGTATAATATAGATTTTCTTAGTGCCATCTCCTTACTAACAATTATTTTCATTATTGAATAATCTGATTGATTAATAAATTATTCAGTCCGTAAAGAAAACAGTCCCTCATAACAGTACAAGGTGATCATTGCATTTCTTTGCCAGTTACCGTTATATAAACCAAACAGCAAATCCTTCCATTTGAGAAACTGAACCAGCAAGTGTCTGATTTTTTTTTTTGTCCAATAACAAGTTGTTGGTGATTCATTCAGTCAGATGACTCATTGATTGATGATCTCAGAATACCTACAAATAGCCTTTAGAATATGTTGGGCTTGGCACACTCTTTCTCAAGAGTTTCTCAAGTGTGTTTTAATCATTGAACAAATCATCACCAGCTCAATGAGACACCCTTCCCTTATTCACATTTATCTATCATCAGCTATTGCTTCTTTAAACTTTTCTTTGCTGTTTTATTTTTCATATCTCTCCTTTTGCGAAGGGAGTGCTTGTGAGTTTCTCCTGCATTTGGTTTTAATTGATCAATTAACCAATAACTAATCGCTGTGGGACACTGTATAAGATACAGATGTCTGTTCTGTTCAACAGCCTCTGGATTGACACAGAATGGCTGTATTTGTCACTTGTCTTGTAATTACAGTCTTCTCATGCTGGGCTCTATCAAACAGGATCTGTTTGCACATGATCTCCACCCACATGATGACATGAGATACATTTGGCTCCTGTCAGCAGTATTGTCCATGTTGTCCTGAAAAGAACTATGTGTTACTTGCTGCCATCCCCACTGTTGTTTTTTGCCGTAGTTATGGGAAAACCACAACGATCAACGTAAATGCAGCTGGCTTACATCCTTCCAAGTAGCTCATCCAAAAGACACAATGTAAAGTTAGGGCAGGTCGTAATTTAAGCGCAAAACCACTAAATTCTCTCCATTATCTTGTTTAGCTCTGCATGGAGTTTGAGAGTGGCGGTGTAGATTATTCATCAAACAAAAAAGTAGATATCGCAAAAGTGTTGGGTGTAGCTACTGTAAACTGAATCATATAGGGTCGCTCTCTCCTCTGGCATCATGAACAGAGTTTGAAGACTAAATTTAAAGGTAATTACTATGACAGTGAGGAGAGAAAACTGAAATAACCCTGAGCCTTTCAAAGCTGTCATTATCATTGGAATTGTAATGACAAGGTTTGGGTCTCTTCAATGGACTTTTTGGGGTAGGACACCCACAAACATGGCATTCCTGAGGGTAACATTGCAGCATATTAATGATATATTGCACAGTGCAGATTACAAAGCTGGGGTCCCTTCTCATGCTTTACGGTTTCACTTAACTTGAAAGAAAATACCAAAACTTGTATTGAAACTACCTCTGTTAAAACATTGTTTGTAATGTGCTGTGTCATGCTGTAGAGGGGCACTTTACACACAGTTCATACCATAGCTGTGCACATTTGAATGACTTCCTAACATGATTTGGCAATGTATAGATTTTCCCATAGATTTTGCAAGTTATTCTAGAATGAATATTTAAAATGTATATTGTGAAATCCGAATTCGTATGACATTTTACTTTAAGGGCAGTTCCCATTGCATCACAAGATAATGGTTATACAAAATTAGGTGTGTTTTTAAAAAACAGAAAACATGCTGTGATTCATGCATCAAATGGCCTAAGGTGGATTGGAGCTGTCCAAACACTGCTCATTATCCAAATGAATTGCTACTTTAACCACAGGATGTGTCTGAACATTAACAGCAAAAAACAATGAACAGCAAACAGTGATTTCAAAATAAAAACACACTCCAGACAAAGCACGAGTTCTTTAATATTTCTAATCAGACATTTTCATCCAGTCACATTAGTCACATTATCACACTGTTAACATGCAACCAAGACATCTATGGGCACAAGTCAGCGAGAGGTCCTGCACATGTACGCTTTGATAGGGTCGAACGACCATTCTGGTGAGCCACAGGATTGAAAAAAGTAGCCACAGTATTTAGAAAAAAGGAAGGAGGAAAGAAAGTCCAATATTTTTAGTCCAAATTACAGTGTTGGAACAGTGCTTTGCACAGTCGAGTGTCCTGGGAGTGGAATGGCATGATGGGTGAACACTGGTGCCAAGCCCCACCCTCCCCACATTGTCCTCTCCGTGGACTTCCCGCACTCTCTTGTGCCCATCTGCAGGACCTCTGCCCTCCCCTTACCCTCCTGGCTGGGCTGGCCAACAGCTCGGTTTCTGTCTCAGTCGCCCGCTGCATGAGGTCTCAAATAAGCACATGTTAAGTCAGGGTTGGGGCAGGGTCAGTTCCTCAGGGATGCCTCAATTGCTAGACTACCAGCGCCTCCTGTTTCAGATCTCTGTCCTTTTTCTGTTGATACAAAGTGGGTGGAAAATATCACAGCTCGGTACAAATCTCAGTTCATGTAAGGTCTCTGAGTTGCTATGCCTCTGTGTTCCGCAGCTCTGGGATATCCTTGATGCCTCTGCATCCCGCACTAAAGCCAGGAACTCTGAACATTACATGAGAAAGCATTAGCTGATACACTACAGCATGGCTTATGATGCCGTGCCAACCACCCACCTAAAGTGCAGAAACAGCCACTCATGCTTTTCATGCATTCTCTCGTGAAACGTGCCTTGCTGCCCAAATATTTTTCCCTTGGAAAGCCTGTGGTTAACACAGGGATGAGTGGGAGTGAGATGATTGCTAACATTCTTTTAACTTTTATGCCAGCTGGAGTGCAGGTCACATTTGCATTTTTTAAGGTTGGTGAAAGGGCTACAGTAGATTTAATGTGGTGATTATTGTAGGATCATGACGAGGAGGTTGAAAGAATTTTTTTTTTAATACATGTATGATTCATTCCAGCTAGTGAACATGATTTAGCAGAGGTAGTGATGACTAAAAAGAAAAGCAGAATTAACTCTACCTACAATATATGAGTCACATTTTCTGTCAAAAATAGGAGTTGTAATTTCATTGTTTAATGTATTGTCTTTACCACAAAGGCCCAAGATTTTTTTAAATGAAGCTAAAGTACCAGTCCCTACATGGTAATTCTGGAGTTTTTTTTTTTTTTTTTTAAATGAGTGTAAACGTTAGAAAATTGTAATAAAATAAAAATTGTAATTGTTATAAAAAAATGTGAAGTTGCTACTTTTTAATTATAGTTCATTTAAAAAACCCTCTATAGATGTGCCTTTATATCAGTCATCAGTCACACTCAACGTCCAAAGAGTTGCAGGGTGAAGGAATCTCTGGGGAAAGTTACCATGTAAGTTTTAATGCACCCATAAAACGTATTTTAAGACCATTTCTTTTGGTTTATTTCAGTGTGAGCCATTCATTTTGACTTCTTTATAAACCCCTTTCTCCTTTTCCTAAGGGGATTTTTTTGGCTCCAAAATAACCAGTAAAGATGAGGAGGGGAAAAACATAACCAAAAATAATCCTCCTCCCCCCTCCAAAAAAAAAAAAAAAAAAAGAGGCAGGTAGTCAGTCTCCAGCTCAGCTCACAGAAGGGGGGACTCCTGATGGAGCTGGGATGTACCGCCACAGGATTGGTGGATGGCTGCTCTCGGTGTGGCCCCATGCCAAGCCCTTATGTCTTTATATACTGTAAACAGATGACCGGACAGTCCTGAGTGTGCATCGCATCCACTCTGCCTCTCTCCATCTCTACCAGCTCCTTCTCTTCGGGGCCCCTGTCAATCTTTAACTTCAGCATCCAACAAGGGCTTCTTCTCCTCAGCTCTCAACCTTTTCTTAAACTCCAGCTGTCTCTTCTCCCCGGCTGTGAAAACAATGGCCACGCCGAGCTTGCTCCTCACTTTATCCGTGTGGCTCCTGGCTGGGAGCCTCTGCGCGGAGGCGACTTACTACCGGCACCACCGCTACGTCCCCCACTTCTACCGCTACCGGGAGCACTCCGCCAACGCGGAAAATCTCCTCCCTGAGGTCTCCAACCCGGTGCCTGAAGTCTCGCAGCCCGGCGTGCCGACCTTCCCCGAGATCCCCGAGGTGTTCCACCCGGTACCTGAAGTCATCCACCCCATACCCGAGGCTTTCCATCCGGTGCCCGAAGTCGTGCATCCGGCACCTGAGCCTTACCACCCATCACCTGAGTTTTACCAGTCG